GTCCGACTCCGTGATTTTCTTTGTTCGCTACATAGATGTCGCCTGAATTCCGCCGGATTATACTTCAAGCCATTTCAAATTGGGTTCGGTTAGGACCCACTCGATAAAAATGGGTTCGGTGGGTGAAAAAATCGAGAATTTAATGGATCAGGCGACATCACAAAATAAAACTATGACTTCTACTGCTGATCTTGAGGGAATTTCCGCCCGCAGGATAATTTGTAAAAATTTCTGAAAAGTTTTCGCTGCTTTTTTTAAAAATTTGGTTGACGGAAAACATTTATAAATAAGTTTAATTTCGAAGGAATTTAGAACGGATCAGCAGTTCAACATATATTTTACTGTACCTTCAAGTTACTGTATTTAGTTGAGGAAAAAATGTAAACCGTTCGTTCAAAATTATATTTATCCCTTCGCTCTTAAAGGCGTATTACATAAAAGGTGACCTTACCTACTTCAGGTAGTGGGTTTCGTCTTAACTCGTTAATTAAGAATTTTTAGCGGATCTTAAGCGGTCTTTAAGCTGTGCTTTTGCACTCTTTTACCCCATTAAAACCCAGAATTCGCGGATCTCCACGAATTTATTTGCTCAGTCGATTACAAATGGAAATAAGATACGATTTCGATCGTTCTACACGATGCCACTCGTTCATTTTTTCTTGGAAACTCGGCTGATTTCCTACGAAAGCTATTGCGAAAGGTTTACATCGATATTTCCTTAAAATTACAAAATTCCTACAATTCGAAAATTTTTTCGTTAACAGGTAATAATGACTCAATCTGCATACCGTAATGTACACATATTTTTTTTTTACACGAAACGCGGACTTCAAAAACGAAAAAAGAGAAAAAAAAATCGGAAGGAATGTCTCTGGGTTTCACACATTCCTCGCTGAATACCTGGAATTCATTTCTCGACAGAAATGATAACAAATTCGTCTCATTCCTCAGATATCGTGGAACTCGTAAAATGATTCATACCTGGAGGCTTATGATGATAAAACTTCGGAAAAGTGAGGCAGTGGTGAATCTTAAAACTTCTGAACTTCAAGTTTCCGATAAGCTACTACACGTTTAATCAGTTACCTATTAAGTCACGTATAAAACTAAAGCGCCAAAAAGTAGGAGAAGCGCTTAACATACGGTTTAAGGTCGTTTTAATCCATGCAGCTTTCAAAAGTTCCTCGATCCTTCAAAGACTTTGTTTTTGCGGAAAATAGGACATCCGCAATTTTGTTATCACCTCACAGATGTCGCCTGTATTTTGTAATGTTGTTCCTTTCGTTTTATTTCGTTAAAAGTTTCTTTCTATTTATAGTAATTTATGTTAAGTTAGCTGAAACTTGGATTTTAGCTCCAGTTTGGTTCTGCTGAGTTTTTCGGTTCAATTGATGATTCAGGCGACATCTGCCTCACATTGCAAGGAACACTTTCAAAATTTTGATTGAAGGAACCACTCAAGGCTATTTGTTCATAAGCATAATTTTCTTGTGAATTCTTTACTGTCTAGAAAGTGGCAGAGATATTTGTCAAAATTTGACGCTTGAAAAGTGAAATTAAATGCACCAAAATTGCATAAGATTAGGAGAAATAATATTTTTGATTTTCCAAAATAAAATGTATTGTGCGCGAAGGTCTCTCAATTAGTGATACTGTATTTCAGGATTTTGTGGAGCTTTTTTTGGAATATTTTGAGATTCATTTACAGTACTTAAAAAAATAATAAACTGAGAGGCTTCAATGAGATAGAAAATTTGGTGTGGTTCCACGATTTTGTTGAGATGAATTTTCCAATTCATATGCTTGAAAATTGTAAAAACTCTGAAAATTGCACATTATTTCCATTCGGTCATCGCAATATTTTTCCCGTCAAGTGCCATAATTTCACGAGTCTTTTTTTTGCAAAAAATTATTTTAAAAATCCATCCCTCAAAAAAAAATTCAAATAAATTCCACAGAAAAACAAAACTATTTCAAGAATATCGTGACCACTTTTGTTTAGTCAACAGTTCAAATTCATTGGAGTAGAAATCGAATGCGTTGACAACACCGTGGATTAAAAAAAAAAAAAAAACTGCACCATCACGCTGACTCGGATTTCGACCGGAGATTCGGAAACTGCTCGGTCATATCCGAGCAAACAAGGTAAGTCCAAGTAATTTACAAATAGAAGACTGGAACAATTAGCTGCTTTGTAATTAATACGATCTGGAAAAATACAATTGCGCAGTTGCCGGCTTCAAAACAACACGCCTCGCTTCAAGGTTAAAATACTGTGCACGTGGTTCGGTTTCGAGTTCGTTCAACCCCATTTAAAGAAAATCTGAACCAGTACGAGGAAACATGATCAAAAATGTTTGAAATTTTAACGATAAAGCCAAAATGTAATCACCTGAATGACCATTTTCCGCGATAATTACTTTTCTAAAGTCATCAACAAAAACTAAAAGGGCTTAACACACTACGATTTTAAAAGTTGTGTCGACAGGAGGCAAGCATTTTTTTTTTTTACAAACTTCCATCATCTCAAGAGGCAAGTTTTCAAATTTACTTTTTCACCTTAAAAAGTAGAGCGATACTCGATTCATCAACAGGCGAAAATCCGTGATGGAATTGACTAATTCACGCAAATAAATTTTCCTGTTTTTTTTTTTAACTTGTAAAAAGTTGAGACCGAGCCCTAAAAAATAAAAGAATATTATTTACGCAGTAGAATATGTGCAGCCTATCAAAAAAATAGGTTATTATTACAGACAAAACATCTGCTTTCAATTACCAAGTTTGAGGCATGTTCGAAAAAAATTACGAATCACTAAAAAATTTCAAGAGCAGCAGTAGAAAATGAAGATTAAACACACATTTTTTTCTACTCACACATTTTCACAAAGTAACACATTTACAGTATCATAAATTTGCTTCCAAATTTCGATTCTTCAAAAAATTAATATTAAATCTTCGTAAATTCTTCAAAGCAGAAACCGTTAATCAGAATGTGGCCCGGATTTTTGATTACCTCTTTTTTAAAATGGGTCGAAATAAAAGAAGATTCTTTCAGATTCACCAGCAAATGTTGGCGGTTTTTTCCGAATTTGAATATATACGAATTACGGATTTTCAAAAGAAAGGAGCGACGATGTTTTCAGCAGTCCCCCTCAAACGAGACAATTTCTCATTCCATTTGCAAATTCACAAAGATTTTCGTTGAATTGTGCCTCAATTTCATCCTCAGCATTTCCGAACTCCACAGTTGAACAAAACACACTGTTTGACATTTTTAAAATGAAAATGGTCACGTTTCAGCAAGAAAAAAAAATTCAAAAACTACTCAACATTATGCCCCACATTTTTTGAACAGGAATTTGAAACAAACTTGCGACTATTGTCCATCTTATATCACTTATGACAAGATACACGTCACACTTTTTCCCCACACCACCACAATAAGTCAATCACGAGAAACTGGAAAGGAATTTTCCGACTGAAACAAAACTCAAAATTTTTTTGAGTCACGTTCAGTTCAGTTCAGGCCCCTCTTTTTTTTTTTGTAAAATTATCCACGAAAAAAAAACCCCAAAAAGTCACACCGCGTCGTCTCGTCCACAAGTGTCGATTCTTTCTGCCGACACCATCGACAAGGTGTGATAATAATAAGAAAATATATCTGGGATCAAGAACAGGGGGCTTTTCTGGTGATTTCAGTACCGTTTTTCCCCTCTTGCTGCGAGTCACATGTTCTGCTGCTTACTATAAGGCTTCACGAGGAAACACCCGAGAGTTGAAAGTCACATGGCGGAATTCCTATGAGGAAAACATCAACCACATGTGTCAGGAATGTTATCCTTGAAGGATATAGTTTTCCTGTTTTCCTACTTTATCTAAAAACTTCACTTCTCCCTGAGCTCTCATACGCAACACTTGAGCAATCTCACAAATATTGTGTTACACTTACAAATTACAACAACCTTAGAATGAATTAATGTACAGAACACTTTATTTGCCGCTTTTCAGCATTCACGAGTTTCAATCAAGATTTCCACAACCAACCCAAATCCCCTTCCCATCCAACCAAAATCCAGTCAATGACATTTAATCACTTCAGAGCAGGAAACAGAGCACGAGTTGATAACAAAAATGAAAGGAAATACAATCCATGACATACAACTGAACATCTGACATGTATGCGGTTATCGGTGGAAATTATGTGATATAATTCCCTGATATATATTGCAAGAATATTCATATTTTTTAAAATATTTTAAAAAAATTTATTTTATATTACTCGCTTTACAAAATTCTAGAAAGAAAAGAAAGTTCTACTCTGTCCAATCTTGAACAGATTTAAAAAAAAACCTGAAACGAAGAAATTACTGGGACAGACAGGCTATTTTCAAAATCCTCCTTGAAGAAAGCAGAGCTGGAAAGACTTTCAGCAAACTTTCTTGATCCTTCCTTATCGAATTTGCCAATTGTTGACAATGACAACAGGATACACGAAATAAAAACCCCAATTTTATGCAAGATCAAGCGAAGGTTTCCGCAGTTCTTTAAAAAAATGAAATAAAGGTTCCTCACGTTGATTTCGAATTTTTTTTTTCTTGAAAAATATGCTGAGAAAAGATCCACAAGTTTTTCTCTCTTCTCCTGAAACTGATCCTAGGGATCAAATGAAACCTTCTGACAAGGACATGGCCTTGAAAAAAATCACTCAAAAAATGAAAACCCCATCTGCCAAGAAATTTGAAAAAAAAAAAAAATATGTCACTCGATAGTCGCACGAACCACCGAAAGCGACTGACTGACTGACTGACTGACTTTAGAAGATTAAATCAAATCCTTCAAGGCTTGTATCAACTCCAATTCCGCTAAACAAACCCAGCCTTTCCAACTTGGCAGCTGTGCCTGTGTTCTACATTCGAACCCTTTCCCTCTTCTTTTCATTCGCGAATATAAACAAAAATGTTTTTAAAAAAAAAGGAACGTTTCCGCGATGCGGAACTTCGTTAAAGACAGCATCCATCTCGGAACCCGGAGAACGAACCCAACGGGTTTCCCGACAAATTTGGGTCATCAGTCGGCATTCGTCCTTGTCACACAGGAGATACCCGGGATTTCCTTTGGCTGCTTTTCAAGATACAAAGGTGTTCAATCTTTGTTTTTTTTCGTCGTCTTGTTTTTTTTTTCTTCAGAAAACCGTCATTATAAGAAGATTTACGTGAACCGAATTGAACACATTTAAATTTATTTTCAAAGTTACTCTGAAACTGCACAAGCATTCACTTTATCACAACAGTTGGCACTTGGAGTCAAATGATTTTTTCTCTGGACTTCGACAAAAAAAAGCTAATTAATTTTTCACAGTCTGGATTGCGTCATTTCAGGCCAACAATTTAATGGATGGATTTTTCTCAACAGCGAACGTGACTTTGAAATACAGTGAGACCCCGACATGCGGACATAATTGGTGCATCAAGAGTGTCCCTAAGTTGAGTCTTATTTTCCCATAGACTTACATTATACAGTATAATTTTTAAATTTGTGTTTTATAGGAGAAATATTCTTCAGAAATCCCTGAAAAAATATGCTTGCCACTTGAATTTGAATTAGTGAATACATTTTCAACTCAATAAGAAAATTTGGAGCATTGAATAATGTATCTCTGTACTAGGCGTTGAAATTTTGGCATCTACAAAAATAATATTCAAGTGGAAAAAAGTAGAAGTCCCTCTATGCTGGAGGTAATTTTTATAAATTAGCTAAATGGATGGTAAATTGGTGAGAGAAATGCCCAAGAACTTTTCCTACATCAATTTTANGTAAATTGGTGAGAGAAATGCCCAAGAACTTTTCCTACATCAATTTTAGGGTTGGAAATATCTGTTTCTTGTAATTTGGCCGGAAATGTACTTGCAATTTCATCACAAAATATCCCTATGTTGAGTCAGTGTCCTCATGTCGGACCTTTTTTTATCAATTTTTTCCTGGGAAAATAAGTGTTCCTATGTCGAATTGTCCGCAGGTCGAGGTGTCCGCATGTGGGGGTCTCACTGTATTATTAGAAAGGTCATGAAGTTGAGAATAGAGTACAACACAATTTTGGAGGCATTTTTTCCCTTTTTTTGCTCAAACAAGATAAGTGATTAAGATGTTCTGTTTCATGTCAAACTATAAAATATGATCCGACATATGGACACAGATGGAAAAATGATCAACACTCTGCAGTGATTTGTTAATCATGGTACAGTAATTCATTCCTTCTCAAATCAAACTTCATAAGAACCATTGAACAAATTTGAGCTAGGGAGGTTTCAAGTTAAAGAACACAAATTTTTGTTACAATATTTAGGGAAAGGTAAATAATTACTGCACAGAAAATTGTAATTGGTAAAATTCTGGGCCTTGAATAGCTTCTTAAATGAATGGACAGAATGCTGAACCCGGATTAAAGGGTTCATTTGCCCAATTAGTCTTTCACTTCCTCTCAAAACACATCAAATTATGTTTTTTTATTACTTTTCTTTTCCCTGTTTCAATGAAATAATAGCCAAAAGGCCTCCAGAAAATTCGAGTAATGGAGGTTTTCAGGGAAAGCCTTAAGAGTTAATCTGGTGTTTGATGCATTGTTTCCAAAGAAAATTCAGACAGGGACTCGAAAAAGAAAAAAAAAAGTGACACAGGGACGTTCAACTTATTGAGGTTAAACTGATGATGAACCAGTCTAATTAGTAAGTACTCTTCTCCTCAAGCCCACACAGAAAATAATTTAATCAGAAATATTTATTTTTTTCAATGAATGAATGAATGAAAGAATGAATGAACAGATCACTTTGTTTGCCGCTTTTCAGCGTTCACAAGGTTCAATCAAGATTTCCACATCAAAGCCCCCTTCATTTTCTTTGTTTCAAACCTTTTGCAACAAAAAATAAAAATAAATGAATACAATACTTTCAACTCACCGTTGGCCTCCAGAAAGTCGCAGAGCATCTTGAGCACTGGCGGCACAGAGCCGACGGGCGAATAGGACGACAAACACCGCCCAAACAAAGGACCCGAACCCTGGGCACGACCGGCGCCATGGCCGTGGCTCAGCAAGTCCGCCGGACACGAGAAAGACGAATGCGGGAGTCCACGGCCGCCGCCGCCACCAACGCTGCCGCCGCCGCAGAATTTCGGCGACCGGGACAGGGAGTGGGAATGATGCTGCTGTCCGTCACTGCTGTCGGATGACGAGTCCCTCGAGTGACCGCCACCCAGGGCACGTCGAACCCGTTCCAGCGGCGACACCGAACCCGCCTTCAACTGCGACACAAATAAAATAAATAAATAAATGACGAGGGTATTAACACAAGATTTATGGAATTCGCGTCGAAATAAACGTAGATCAGAATATTTTTCAAAAGGTTCCATCATCCTCATCATCTCCAGAAGGCCAATTTTTAGAAATGTATTTTACCCCTTTTAAAATAAAATATCAAATGTCGTGGAAAATTTGCTGTCTGAAGTGCCAAATATTTCCTTTTCACCGAACCCGCCTTCAACTGCGACACAAATAAAATAAGTAAATAAATAAATAAAAGACGAGGGTATTAACACAAGATTTACGGAATTCGCGTCGAAAGAAACGTAGATCAGAATATTTTTCGAAAGATTCCATCATCATCCTCATCATCTACATTCTACAGAATACCAATTTTTTGAAATTTATTTTGCCCCTTCAAAAAAATCAAATGAGAGCTTCGCTCATTAAACACTTGAATGAGTATTAACATAGAATAGCACCAACAGGAAATAAATTCATCACAAATTTTCGAATATTTTTCAGAAATCCCATCATCATCTCAAGAAAAGCGAGTATCTGAAATTTAATTTACCTTTTTTAAAAAATAAAATATTAAATGAAAGCTTCAATTGCTATTCAATACTTGAATAAGCATATCAACATAAAATAGCACAAGCGCGAAAAAGATTCATAATGAATTTTCGTGCACAGCAAATGTTGAAAAGTTCATCGTTTATACTTCGAATTTTTCAGGAAGATTGGTGAAATCTCATTCTACAAAGAATTTTTTTGGACACTGAAAAATTCGTTATGAAAAGTTGAACGATGCAAAATTCAAAATTATTCGATCAGAAAATCAGTTTTTTTTCACAAGAATCCCAGTTGAGCGAAAATTGATGGAAAAATGTTTTCATGAAATTTTTCCTTTTTCCAATACATATTCGAAAAGAAAATTCTATAACAATTTCACAATTTATTCCTAATAACGAAACAGAAATAAAATAAGGCATGCGTTTCCTTTTGGTTTCCATTTAATAAGAATGTGAAAATTGAAAGAAATTTTCACGAGAAAAAATGGAAACCACATGATCCTGGATTTCTTTCATAATCAAATCGATCATAGATGTCGCCTGAAACAACTCAAGGATTTTAGGTCTAAGACAGAGAAGATTCAAAACACAGGATTTTATTTCAATTCGGTTAGGACAGGTTCAGTAATCAAAAAAAAATTAAAACCAACGTACTTTATGTCGTGACTTGACATAAATGAGTCTAACCGCCAAGTACGCTGTAGATGGGCTATAAGGTCCCTTGATACAAGCCCTAAGTTCGATTATTACATGTACCTACTTCTACAAACACGCTAGGAATATTCCAGCTTTGCTTCTAGCATTTTTTTTTTCAAAAAGTTGCGAAAAACACAGCAGAAAATTTTTTCTGAACACAAAACTGAAGAAGTTGACATTTTTGAGAGATAACTCACCCCCAATCCAGAATGATGATGAGTCGCAGTCATTCCTTTAGATACGAGGAACCTTTTTCAGAAAACAAAACAAAAAACCACAGTCGTCCACGCACAAAAATGTGCTGCTTTCTCTCCCCGAGACCAGAAACAAATTTTGCACAAAAAGACTTCTTCGCAAAATTGAACAGCAACTCTTCTTCCTTTCCTTTCCTTTCTTTCTTTCTCTCTCTCTCCCTCGCTTGCTCTCCTTTACACAAGTGACCCACTGTCAGCAAACACACCACCAGTCGCAGTTCCCATCTGCACTCAGCAAGAATCTGAAAGACACAGAAAACTTTTCAACATTTTTTGAAAAACGGATAGTCAACTTTTGCCAAATTAGTCTTTCAATTACTTCCCAAACACATCGTTACATTTTTTTAAAATAATTTTTTATCATTCCTGTGTCAATAAAACATTAGCCAATTATAACGAAAATAGTGAGTTAAGGAGGTTTG